GACTAAAACAAGAAACAGGGACTTACTCTTTACATGCCTCCCACCCCTGGCATTTCTAGCAGAGCAGGGCAGGGCTATGACACACTCATAAAAAGCTAGTTTACTTGAAAGGCTGCTCTTCCCTGATTACCTCCGTGAGACGGGAGAAGAGTCCACGCCTAGATAAAACATTCATGTGAGTGCTTTGTGGCCACTCTTTTGGTATCCTTCCCCATCCCCCATAATGCTGCTGGAACTGTCAGTTGGTTTCTTCTTATAACTGTGACCTGTCATGTTTCCTTGTGAGTGACAGGTGAACATACTAGATCTCTCCTCTCGCTTTCTGTAATCCCACATTCTTCATAAGCATGACTCAATCAATCTCCAAGCCACACTGTTGTAGAAAATCAGAATAGGCCACCCTATAATATGCCACTTTCGATAAGGATGATTGTGAGCTGTAGGCAAATGTGATAATCAACAGATGCAGAAAGCAGCCTTGTCAGAGCTCCCCTTATCGGGTCAAAAGCAGAAACTCCTGAGAAGTAAAGACTGCTGTAAATCCCCTCTCTTGGGGAAGTTTTACGGACATGAAGATGAAAAGTCAGCACCAAGACAGACCCGCCCAAACACTGCTAAGATAGTCCTTATCTTCCATGAGTTTCCCCCGCACATCTACCTTCCCAGGGTTTACAGCTCCTAGAAGCCTTAAAACCTTTTCCCTTTGTCTTTTCACCTCTCTATAAATTTATTCTTCTTTGCTAAGATGCTGTACAAGCCCAGGTTCCAATAACCCCTTTGAATTGCTCATCGCTGAGTTTCTCTCTCCTGCAGGTATGCATACTGCACATGTTAATAAATTCTGTTTCTCTCTTGTTAATCTTTCGCCGGTTTAATTTCCAGGGCCCCAGCCAGAGATCTTAAGAGGGTAGATTTCTTTTTTTTTTCTCTCTCTCTCTTCTACACTGTGAAGGCTTCTTAGCAGATATGCAGCCACACATGAAGTTAGGCAACTGGGGTCTAGGCTGATGCTGTGGGGTGCAAAGGCTGGGTGCTGATTATGTGTCTTGAGGTTGGAGCTTACGAGTAAAACTCTTCCAAGCAAAATAACCTCAATTCATTTAGGGTCAAAATATATCAAGGCAGCTGATGAGATACAGATCTGTAAGTTATCTACTGAGGATCAGCTAACCTCCCTGTTGTAGGACAATTTACCCAGGAGATTAAAATCTCGATTCAATTCATACAGGAACTTCCAAACCCTAAAATCATAATTTAACTTCTCTAATATCTCAGTAAGAGAGAATTCTGTCCTCCCATCCAGCTATTCTGCCTCCTCAGTCTTCTCCCCAGATCCATTAGAGGAAACATTTAGAACATGTTTATTTTTCCAAGGTCTTTTGCCCCCATCTCCCACCCCACTCTTGAGTTTTGCTGAGATTTGACTTCAAGCTATTATTAGGGTTTTCCCTTCCAGTTTGTCTATTTTGCTGTAATAGTCATTACTTACGACACAGTATAAAGTCCTGGTAAAAACGATCTCATCTCCTTATACTAAATGACATATTCATCACAAGATTCACTGCTCACTACTGATTTCTGACCTCTTATCTTCCGGCTTGTTGAGATTTCTACTGAAATTGACACTTTACCAATTGCTTTCCCAAGCAAAATTATATGAGTAATAAACTCTAGGCCATGAAGCCTTTAATGAGTTACAAGAATAATAAACTCCAAGCCTTCAAGTGTCAAACTTACAAAAACAAACAAAAAAAATATGGTTATTGAGCTTGATGTAGAATTTTGTATTACAATGCTTTTTGAATAAATCATCTAGAGATATTGTTCTATTGTCTTCTTCTACTTTCTAGGGCTGGTGATGAGAAATCTGGCACTAGTTTGATTCTTCTACTTCTGCCTCTCCAGATGTATAAAACTTTCTCTTTATCCGTAAAATTCTAGGATTTCACCAGGAAATGTCTATACATGTAGTTTGAAATATTCATTCACCTCGCCTGATTTTTCAACTCAGAGAACTTTTCTTTTACTTTTATTTAACTATTCTTCTTCTTCTCTCTGGTTCTTTTTCTCCTCCAGGCACTCTTGTTACTGATGTTAAGTCAGTCAATCTGTCCTACAAGTTTCATATCTTTTTCCTCTACATGTCTCTAAGTGTCTGTACTCTATGGGATAAAGAATTTCTTCCCCTTGATGTTCCAGAATAGTGATTACGTTCTCAGAACAGAGATCCTCTTAGAATATATCGGAAAAAAAAATAGTTTTTATATTGTGGAAACAATGCTTTTAGTTCCATACAGTCTTTTATTTTCTTGCATGCTAATTATCTTCCTTATTCCACTTTGTTAAAGTACTCTTCTGTCTCCTTATTCAGTTCTATTTCAATAGCTGCCATGTTTTCTAGTTTAGAGTTTGTGCTCATAACTTCATGTTACTAAGACTTCCTAAGCAAGCTGTGATGTTTCTCTGCCTACTCAAAGTCGTGTGATCCCTCAGTACTTGTACAGGTTAGATATTGGTGTTGAGTGGTAGAACAGCAGCAGATGGTGGAAGATACAATTTCTTGTAGGCTGGTGTTGACGGAGTCAGGTGAGGCACTAGTAAGAATACTAGATGCAAATACTCATCATTTCCTAATCACAAGGAGTAATTCAGACCTCTAGTTCAGCCTTCTCTGAATCTCTTGTGGTTGACAGTATCAAATAGCTCCTTCAAAACCAACAGTGGCTACCCTAAGCCTGAGGAGAGTAACACTCTGGCCTCTAAATTCACACCAGTTGCCAAAGAAGAAAAGAAAAACCACACACCCAAATGAAAAACTGAGCTTAGCGTTGTCTCATCTCTGGATATCTTAGATGAAATCCTGGCCTCAGACACAATTGCCAGAGTAGTACTTCCAGCCCATATGACCACCAGAGCCTTTCTACCACTCCATGGAGACGTGAAGTTTATTTCTAACCCCTCGAACCAGGGAAGGTCTTTTTGACTGCTTCATCAAATAAAGGGTGACAGTAATGACATCCCAGGGTAGGTGACATGGATGCTCAGTCCTGGAACCCTGCCACTATGCTGTGAGGAAGTCCAAGCCACATGGAGTGGCCACATGAGGGTCTTTAGCCATCAGTTCCAGTTAAGGTCCCAGTTGATGGCCAGCACAGATGGAGAGACAGTGAACGTGACTCCAAATGACACCAGCCCCAGCACTGAAGCCCACATTGAGTGCGAGAGAAATGGGTTGTTCTCTGAGCCCTGCCCAAATAGCAGATTCAAGAGGAAAACAAATGTTGTTATTTTAAGCCATGAGTTTTGAGGTGGTGTGTTAGAGAGCATTAGATAACAATAGCCACCATTTTTGTCCACTGTGCTATTCCCCAGAAGAAATCAGGGACATGGACTCAGACCAGCTTCTCCCTAAAATCCTTTAGGATTAATACTTGGATGCAGAATTTTCATATTGCTCAAGGATTTAGTATTGTCTCCAGGTCTCTCCTTGATCTTAGAAATGGCTTTAAAAAGATTCTAGAACTATCCACTTGTGAGAGGTAAAATGGGAGGAAATTGGCACAATACAATAATTTTATTTTATAAAAATACACTTAGCAAAAGATGACATGCTAAATATTATGTCAGTTCTCACACTGAGACTCAAATATCTCGAGTTATCTCAGTGAATGACATCAGATTTTTTATACATTGTAGGGGAAAACACACTTACATGAATTCACTTAACTAGGTCAAGGAATTTTAGAAATGTGGTATATAATAGGATTAGCAATCAGAAGTTATTATTTCTCTTTGGGCTGTTTCCAAGCAGTCTATTCTCCAGTGAAGATGCTTAGCTTCTCCAGGTCTCAGTTCCCTCATCTGTTAAGTAAGGAAATTAGGTGCAATGACCTTTAAAAAAATTTTTTTTTAATTTTTAAAAATTATTTTCTTAATCTTATTTATTTATTTATTTTAATAGAGATGAAGTCTCGTTTTGTTGCCCAGGCTGGTCTCAAACTCCAAGGCCCAAGTGATCCTCCCGCCTCAGCCTCCCAAAGTGCTGGGATTACAGCCATGAGACACTGTGCTTGGCCTTTATTTAAATTTTATTTTTTTAATAGACAGGGTCTCACTCTGCGGCCCAGGCTGGAGTGCAGTGGCAAATCATGGCTCATTGCAATCTCAATCTCCCGCCTCAGCCTTCTGAGTAGCTGGGACTACAGGTGTATACCACCACTCAGAGCTCATTTTTTAAAATTGTATTTTTATAGAGACAGGATCTCACTATGTTGTCCAGGCTGGTCTTGAACTCCTGGCTTCAAGTGATCCTGCCACCTCAGCCTGCCAAAGTACTGGGATTATGGGCCTGAGCCACTGCACCTGGCCCCAACCATCTTAAAAAGGATTCTACCAGCTCAGCCATCCCGTGCAAGTTTACTGAACCTTCATATGTAGATACCAAGAACACTGTACATCCAACCCCATTATTTCAGAGACGAAAGACCTGATAAGAACCTGAAAGATTATGATCCACGAGAAAGGAAGAAACAGAATTTCCAGTACTGGAACAATGTGCCACCATGACACTCTGCCCGTGGGTCATCAATGCAGATGTTTTTGATAAAAGGCTGCACCCCATGCTCCAAAGGACAATGAAGGAGGAATTTATTTATGTTGCACCTGCATTACCATCCTCAGAAGGAGGACACATGTAATGATGGTGGCAGTCGATTGACTCAATGACTAAAAGGAGTGAGGGTAGAGTTGGCCTCAGTGGCCCTAAGGACAACACCGAGACGTGGTCTTGCTCCCCTTGTGTCTCAGGTCTGTTTTCCTTAAGGTTGACTCCATTCTTTGGCAGACTCTCCCCTCACAGATCCAAAGTGGCTGGCGGCAGCTTCAGGTTGAAAGCCCATCTGCTTAGGAATCCCAAGGGACCCAGCCAAGGTCCCAGACTGTAGTGTACAGTCCCACTGACTGTAGTGAACAAAATAATGCCCCACCTCCTAAAAGTCCACATCCTAATTCCCAGAACCTCTGAATATGTTATCTTACACGGCAAAAGAGACTTTGCAGATGGCTCAGATAGACCCTGAGATAAAAAGTCTGCTGGATTATCCTGGTGGGTCCAGTGTCACCCATGGGTCCTTAACAGTGGAAGAGGAAGGCCAGCCACAGTGGCTCACTACTGTATTTCCCAGCACTTTGGGAAGCCGAGGTGAGTGGATCACTTCGGGCCAGGAGTTCGAGATCAGCCTGGTCAACATGGCAAAACCCTGTCTCTACTGAAAATACAAAAACTAGCCGGGCACGGTAGTGGGCACTGTAGTGCCAGCTATTCGGGAGGCTGAGGCAGAAGAATTGCTTGAACCCAGGAGGCGGAGGTTGCAGTGAGCCGAGATCGCGACACTGCACTCCAGCTTGGGTGAAAAAAAAAAAAAAAACAAAAAAAAATGGAAGAGGAGGCAGAAGAGGAATTCAGAGGGAGATGTGACCACAAAAAAAACAGAGCGATGTGGTATGAGGAGAGCGCAACCCAGTGCTACTGGCTCTGAACACAGAGGAAGGGGTCACAAGGCAAAGAATGTGGGCCACCTCTAGAGAAGCCTGAGAAGTCAGGGAAACTAATTCTCCCCTAGAGCCTCCAGAGAGCAGCACCATCCTGCTGCCATCTTGATTTTGGCCCAGTGACACCTGTGCCAGACTTCTGACCTCCAGAACTGTAAGATGATAAATCTGTGTTGTTTTAAAGTCACTAAAAAAAAAATAATTTATCACAGCAGGAATAGAAAAACAATATATCATGGCCAGGCACATGGTGGCTCACACCTGTAACTCCAACACTTTGGGAGGCCGAGGTAGGAAAAAAACTTGAGCTCAGGAGTTTGAGACTACCCCGGCCAACATGGCAAAACAAAAAAACTACAAAAATACAAAAATTAGCCAGATGTAGTGGCTCAGGCCTGTAAAAAAAACACTTTGGGAGGGCGAGGTGGGCAGATCATTTGAGCCCAGGAGTAAAAAAACAGCCTGGCCAACATGGCAAAATTCAATCTCTATAAAAACACAAAAGTTAACTGGGCATGGTGGTGAGTACCTGTAGTCCCAGATACTTAAGAGGCTGAGGCACAAGAATCACTTGAACCTGGGAGGTGGAGGTTGCAGTGAGTTGAGATCACGCCACTGCACCAAGAACGACAGAGCAAGACCTTGCCTCAAAAAAACAAAAAAAAAAAACAAAACAAAACAAAACAAAAAAAAACAATATACTGATTGGTCAAAAAAAATTCACCTGCTCTGCCTGAATCAATGATTTTGACTAGACCCAAGTAAAAAAACCCTTCCCTGAATCAAAGGGTGAAGTTAGTCCCACTTACACCACATGGGTCAAGAGTGGGGAAGGGACAGCTCCTTGAAGAAAACCAGAGGCTACAAAAAAAAAACTGGGACATGGAAAATAAGCAGGAAAATAAAAAAGATATCCAACAAAAAAAAGGACAAATGAGAGGGCCAGACAAAACCCTGATATATCTAATAGAAAAAAAAGTAGATATTGTAGAGATAAGAGTTTCACCATGTTGTCCAGCACTGGAAATGCTGGAGATAAAACTGAGGCTACTGACAACATTCCAACTTTGCTTTCCTCTGAAGGTCACAGCTTTTGAAGAAAGAGGAAATACCAAGAAATGGAACAGAAAAAAACCATGGATAGAGCCTAAATAACATGCTATATAACAAGCCTGGATTAAAAAAATAGTTATCTAAAATGCTATTGTCATGTTATATCACAAATGCTATTGTCAGGAGCCTTGCTGACCTTATAAGGAATTCTTTAAAGTGTAAATTGAAGTAAAAAAAGAAGAATAACTATATAAAACTGAACAGCTGGATAAAGTCAATATAAAAAAAATATGTTCCTACTTTCTATATTCTTGATGCTGTGGCATTTGGAGTCTGTGGACTCAAGAAACTGCCCCTCCCAGGATTAATTAACTCCTAGAGGTAACAAGTAACTCACTTGTGGGCATGCCTTTGATATGCCAACCAACTACTTAGAGTCCAGCCCTCCAGGAGTCTGCTTTTCTGCTAGGCAATTCTTCTGCCCTAATCTAAAAAAAGCCAGGTACAACTGGGGACCACCCTTATAGCCCCAGAGCCTGCTTAAAAAAAAATTTTTTTTTTCATGAACCACACAGGAGATTTAAGCGTGATAGTGAACTTGTGCCACGTGTTGACTTTGCTTTGCCCACTCCTTTCGGTGTTAACTAAAAAAAAGGCTCCTGCGTGCAGCTCCCTCTCTCCGTGTCTGCTCATCTGGCAAAAAAACTTTCCCGTGTGGCCCTGAACGAGCTCATGTGCTTACTGTTTCTTAAAAAAAGCAAATGTAATAAAACACTCTTCCTTCCTGGCAATCGTTTTTGCATCTGTGTGTATTATACCTGCTCCAAACAAGTCCTGGGTACATTTGTAGAACAGCAAAAGATGGCAGATATGACTCAACAAGAACAACAATGAGACATCTCAGGAAAAAAAAAGAGAGAACAACAGAAGAGTCAGGAAACAATCTTCGCCCCGGTGCAAAAAAAAAATGCAGGCAGTAAAGCAACCTCGAAATCATAAGTGATGATGACAAAAAAACTTTTTGCACTGACTGATGGAGAAATGGGTTCATGCCAGGAAAAAAAAAAAAAGATCTAGGACTTATGAAAGGCTCCTGTATTAGTTCCCTATGGCTAAAAAAATGAAGTATCACACGCTAGGTGTCTTAAATAACAGAAATTATTGCCAAAAAAATTTGCAGCCCAGAAGTCTATATTCAAGGTGTCAGCAGGGTTGGTTCTTCCAAAGGCTGCGAGGGAGAATCTGTCCCAGGCCTCTTGCCTAGCTTGTGAAAAAAACAAGCATTCCTTGGCTCGTCAACGGCATTCTCCTTATGATGTCACGTCATCTTCTCACAGCACATGTCTGTCTCTATGTCCAAATATCCCACTTTTTAAAAAAACACAGTCATATTGGATTAAAGCTGATATGGTTTGGCTGTGTCCCCAAAAAAATCTCAGCTTGAACCCAGCTTGAATTGTAGCTCCCATAATTCCCATAAAAAAAGGGAGGGACCCCGTGAGAGAGAACTGAATCACGGGGGCAGTTTTCCATATACTGTTCTTGTGGTCGTAAGTCTCACAAGATCTGATGGTTTATAAGGGGTTTCCCCCTTTCACTTGGCTCTCATTCTCTCTTGCCTGCCACCATGTAAGATGTGCCTTTCACCATCCACCATGGTTGTGATGCCTCCCCAGCCACGTGGAAAAAAAAATCCACTAAACCTCTTTTTCTTTAAAATTATCCAGTCTCAGGTATGAAAAAAAAAGCAGCATGAAAATATACTAATACAAAAGCCCACTTGAATAATGAAAAAAACTTAATTTAGTCATCTGTACAGACTTTGTTTCCAAATAAGCACACAAAAAAAGATACTGGGGGGTTAGGTCCTCAACATCTTTTGAGGGAGATACAAAAAAAAACACAAACCTATAACGGCTTCCTACCCTGGGAGTTCTTTTTCTTTAGTTCATCCTAATTTGCCCCCTTTTGCTATTTCCAAGGTAAAACCCAAAATGCAAAAAAAAGGCTGTGGACTTAAACGTTTTTGAAAAGGGCCTGAGAAGGTTGATTTAGTCTGACCTCATGCTTAAGAGACAGAAAAGAATCTTTGCACACCTGCAAGATCCAAGCCAATGTGGTCATAACTCCAGCCAGTAATCTGCAGACTTTCTTAAAAAAACATCCCAGGTAACTGAGGTGATAGTCAGTAGGGGTGTGGTTGGAGAAAAAAAGAGTCCACATGACTAACAGAGGGCAGGGTAGGTAAAGAAAGGGAAGGAGATAGGGTTGCTATATACACAGTTCACATATTTGGCTGACCTGGGTGTTTTCAGAATAGCAGACTTGGTTGGAACTTTCCATTCATAGGATTTCTGTGCCCAAAAAAAACGGACTAATACATAGCCAAAGGCTTACTACAGACTTGGCATAAGAAAAAAACCTGTTCTTCCTTACAAGTGTGAGTAAATGCTGGCATCTCAAAATAAAAAAATGCAAGAACCTACTGGGTTCCTTGCACAAGGAGTATCAGTGGTAAAAAAAAAAGCAGGATTAGTGGCAGCCAATCCTCAAGCCACTAATAGTGGCTGAGGTGGTCTAGTTTATTAGTGATCCAAGTCCCCAAAAGCAGATCTTGTCCCAAAAAAAACTCTTTAGCAACACCTAGTGATACCTGCTAACTAAATCTGCAAGTAAAAAAAGGAATGGGGCAGGATATAAATAAATAAGTAACATGGGCAAACGAAAAAAAAAAGTTTGTGGTGGTTAGGGTATCCTGTTATAGAAAACATGGTCACCAAAAAAATCCTATAAAAAACATCTAGCTCCAAGCTATTCTACCATATTAGAAAAAAAAATCCAGGACAGCTGCATGGGAAAGCCATCTTTTTCTTCTCCAACTTTCATGGGCTGGAAACTTAATTCCCAAATTCATTATGTTGATTGGAGATGGGGCCTTTGGGAGATAATTAGGACTAGGTAAGGTCATCAGGATGGGGCTCCCATGATAGGACTGGTGGCTTTATAAGATGAGGAAGAGAGACTTGAGCTGACATGCAAAAAAAAACTCTCTTGCATGTAACACAGCATGAAGGGCCTCACCAGACGCTAGTTCCATACTCTTAAAGACTTCCCAGCCTCCAGAACCATGAGCTAAATCAACAAAAAAACTTTATACATTACCCTGTTTATTCTTTATAAAATACCCAGTCTGTAAAAAAAAGTTAAAGCAACAGAAAATGAACTAAGACAGACCTCATCAGCCACTTCGGCCTAAGCAGGAAGGATTTAACCAGATCCTTGCAGATGAACAAGCACCCAGGAGAAGGGGAAGAAAGTGGATTGCCAGGGACTTGGAACAGAGGTCTGTATGATGATTAATGGCTTTGCACTAATTAGCAACATGTCATTGAGGTTTAAAGTGCTGAGGCAATTTATATATATCTAAAATGTGGCAAGAGGTGGGAAGAGAGAAATTTTGCTTGAAAAAAGCATATTCATTATACTTCTAATGACATATTATTTTCAAAAAAAAAACTACAGAAAGTAAATCTCAAAATGTGGGAAAGGACAGGGATATATGGAAAGAGCAACAAGAATGCATTATCATGATTAGGGTCTTTATTCATTAGAAAGCACCAAAACAAACATTAAGCTTTCACTAAGCATCAGATTGTTAAAGCAAAAAAATCATTTAACTTTCACAACAACTCCCGAGGTCAGGACTATTAATAACATCATATTATTGATGGGGAAATTGAGGTTTTAGCAAGCTTACAAAACTTGCAAAAAAACACAAAGCTTAGAGAAGCAGATTAGGAACCCAGTCTGACCTCAGAAGTCACTTTCATAACCTGTATGTTCTAACAGCCTTTCACAAGTTTAGAAATGAAAAAAATCCCCAAAGTGCCTTCCAAATAAAAATTTCTATGGGGAAAGATAGAAAAAAAAGGAATGTAAAAATAAACTTCCCTAATTTCACAATTGCCTAGGGCAAAAAAACGATATTTTCCTACATATAGTCATACTGCTTCTAAAAAATAGTAGAAAAAAATTGCTCTCAGCCTACCTGTAGGGAAGCAGAGAAGAAGGGTATTTAAAAAAAATGCTCAACAGACTTGAGATTCATCTGCCGTAAAACCTCTGGAAGCAGCCACCCGATAGACAATGTGACAACTCCCATCCCTGCAGCCAGAGTTGATTGAACAGGTGAAGAACTACGGTTTACTAGATCCCCCTGGGATTTTAGAACAGGAAAAAAAAGTTAGTGGGGCTAGACCTGTAAGGGTCAGTAGCTTCAATGCACCAAAAAAAGAAAAATCTACAGGAATACAGGTGGTGAGGACAGAAAGACAGAAGAAAAAAAGAGATGTGGCCCCTCAGTTATGGAGAAGTCTTGGCTCCCAGTGGTAAAAAAACTCCCATTGCAGGGATACTGGCTATCATTAGCTTCACTAAGCATGCCTCCTGCTGAGTCCTTATAAGAAGCTTACTTTTTAGGCCAGGTGCGGTGGCTCACACCTGTAATCCCGGCACTTTGGGAGGTCAAGGCAGGCGGATCACCCGAAAAAAAAAGTTCGAGACCAGCCTGACCAACATGGAGAAACCCCGTCTCTACTAAAAATACACAATTGGCCACATGTGGTGGCACATGCCTGTAATCCCAGCTAGAAAAAAAGCTGAGGCAGGAGAATCACTTGAACCTGGGAGGTGGAGGTTGCGGAAAAAAAAGATCGTGCCATTGCAGTCCAGCCCGGGCAACAAGAGTGAAACTCAAAAAAAACAAACAAACAAACAAACAAACAAAAAAGAAGCTTACTTTTCTTAAAAAAAACTGAGGGTTTTGTGTTGTTCTGCCTTTTGCAATCCAGGGCCTCACAAAAAAATCGACCACAAGCATGACTTTTTTATCCAGACACCCTGCCCAACACAAAAAAAAGCCTTATATCCACACTCTCTGTTATTTTTGTTTCTGTGTTACAATAGCATCTTCCATTTAGTGCCAGGGCTCTGCTAGATGCTTCATCACACAAGTAAAAAAAAAATCTTCAACATTAATGGCTCACTTAATTGGGTTTCTGTAGACAGACACTCAAATTTAGACAAATTTTAACAGGCAGTCCAAACAAGTATGAGAATAAAAAAAAAACAAACTTGGATCCATTGATTATTCAATAACTAGTTTTGGGGCAAAAAAATATCCATTTGGATGTGTTCCATTACTCTGACCACCCGCCCAGAAAAAAAAAAATGAAATGAATTAAATTAGTTGTAAAAAAATAAAATGCCGAAAAAAAAAAAAGGGAGGAAAATGAAGATAATGACGAATCTTATGGTGAGAAAGGACTTCCCAAGCAGGACTCCAAATTTAGAAATTGCAATGAAAAAAAGAAAGACTTCCTGACACAATTTTCTTACATTGCTACAGGATAAAGGGCATGATAATAAATGACAAATGATAGACTGGAAGAAAATATTTGCAACTTACACAACAAAGGACTAATTTCTCTTTGCAAAGGTCCATTGTAGGGTTTATCTTGTTTGTTTGTTTGTTTATTTTTATCTTTAGAGATGGGAGTCTCACTATGTTGCCCAGGTTGGTCTTGAACTCCTGGCCCCAGAGATCTTCCTCTGGCAGAGTTTATAAAGCTCGAGGTGAAATATGAAAGAACAATGCTGAGTAGATTTCTTTTACCCACCCAATGTTCAAGAAAAAAATCTACTGCTGAACACCTGTCCCCTAAAGTAATCCTAAAGACTCCCCTTCCTAAACTAGCCGGGCGTGGTGGCGGGCGCCTGTAGTCCCAGCTACTCGAAAAAAAGAGGCAAGAGAGTGGCGGGAACCCGGGAGGCGGAGCTTGCAGTGAGCTGAGATCCGGCCACTGCACTCCAGCCTGGGCGACAGCGAGACTCCGTCTCAAAAAAAAAAAAAAAAAAAAAAGACTCCCCTTCCTGTCCTTTCTATATATATCTATATACATATACAGACGTGTCTGGACATAGAGCCACGGTTTCTTTTTTCTGTTTTTTTGAGACGGAGTTTCGCTCTTGTTGCCCAGCCTGGAGTGCAATGGCACGATCTCAGCTCACCACAACCTCCACCTCCTGGGTTCAAGTGATTCTGCTTCCTCAGCCTCCCGAGTAGCTGGGATTACAGGCATGCGCCACCACGGCTGGCTAATTTTGTATTTTTAGTAGAGACGGGGTTTCTCCATATTGATCAGGCTGGTCTTGAACTCCCAGCCTAAGGTGATCCGCCTGCCTCGGCCTTCCAAAGTGCTGGGATTACGGGCATGAGCCACCACGCCCGGCCGAGATACTGTTTCTTTTTGACATAATGGGTTCATATTCTCTCCACTGTTCTGTGACCTGATGTCTTCAATAGAGCATGTCTCAGAGATCTTTTTATGCATCTACTTATAGGACCACCTCACTTTCTTTATTAGTTGTGTCAGAAATCACTAATTGTACCATCATTCCTTTTATCTTCTCCAATGGACATTTGTTTCCAGTGTTTCACTATTTTAAATGATGTACCCATCAACATCTTATACATTAATCTTTCTGCATACCTGTCATAATATTGTCAAAGGGGAGGCGGGGGGAAACGGTTAGAAACTCTCTCTATATGATATCATTCTAACTTAGTTCAGGGGTATGGTACGCTTTGGGGAAAAAAGACTGCAGCAGATCAGGCCACTCTTAATACAAGCCAACTTTATGCCATCCCCGTCCCTAAGCAGCTAACACTGCTCATTCTCCCTGCTTGCTGTGCCTGCAGAAGCTGTTTGAAACTGCGGTTTTCTTCCTGCACCCTCCCGTGCCATCTCCATCTGGACCGAGGTCATCTGGGAAGGGCTCCTGCAAGCCTGCTCATCACCACCAGCAGACACAACACTTGTTTCTAAATCCAGCCTCCTCCCCACCTGCCTTTTGTTCTGCCAAGCCACAAGGCAGCCTGCCTTGGGGAGACTGAGGCATACCTGCTACAGCTGAGAAGGAACTGACAGGAAATAAGGTGAGAAATCAGGTCAGTGGGAACAGGATGAGCTGGGGCCAGAAGATATGGAAATGGGGAGCTGGGACAAGAGGCAGATCAGAAGCCAGGCAGAGGTAAATGAAGAGTCCACTAGGAAGAAGGGAAAAGGAAGGGCAGGAGACAGAATGCTCCAGCAGCTGAAGTGGAAATGAGAAATTGGCAGGAAGTGAAGGTGGCAAAGCGGTGGTGTAGAACAGGTTTGCAGCCACGCAACAAACGCCGCCCCGATAACAGAGAAAATGTGAGTTAACTGTCACGTCTTGGGGAATTTTATCTACAGTGGATTTGGGTAGTTGAGAACATCTAGCTGACATGAAGGACTGACAGGCCAGTGACAAAAACAGTTTCTGATAGGATACCTCGCTCCTGCCCCAATGCCTCCAGCTCCCTCATTCTTTCTGTCCTCACATTTACTTTTCTGTCCTCTGTGATCGTCCAACCTTTCTTGCAAACGATCCACCTCTGCCTTCTCGATGTTCATTCATTCTATTTTTTGTTTTCTCCACTCTATTCTAGCGGTTCATGTTTTGCCCCCACCTCCTTCTATAGATCAGGGACCCTGGGACGTGGGCATTTCATGACACGTTTTGGTCCTTCGGTGCTTAATATGCTATAAACATAGATGATGCCTCAAAATACTTCCTAAGTGAAGTGCTGTGATGGTTAATATTGAGTGATATTTGCTGATTCTTCTGGCCTCCATCCTTTTCCCGTGCTGGAGGCCTCCTGCCCTTGAACATCAGACTCCCAAGTTTTTCAGCTTTTGGACTCTTGGATCCACACCAGTGGTTTGCCAGGGGCTCTCAGCCTTTGGCCACAGAGTGAAGGCTGTACTGTCAGCTTCCCTACTTTGGAGGTTTTGGGACTGGGACTGGCCTCCTTGCTCCTCAGCTTGCAGATGGCGTATTGTGGAACTTCACCTTGAGATCACATGAGTTGATACTCCCTAATAAACTTCCTTTCATATATACATCTATCCTATTAGTCCTGTCCCTCTAGAGAACCCTATTACAAATACCGTTCCTCACACTTAGAATATCTTGCTCTTACATTCCTCTTTAAAAAATCCATCTGACCATGCAATCTATACTCATTTATCCCTCAAAACACAAAACAATTTTTTTAAAACACAGCAAACAGGCTGGGCGCGGTGGCCCACGCCTGTAATCCCAGCACTTTGGGAAGCCAAGGCGGGCGGATCACAAGGTCAGGAGATTGAGACCATCCTGGCTAACATGGTGAAACCCCACCTCTACTAAAAATACAAAAAATAAGCTGCGCGTGGTGGCGGGCAACTGTAGTCCCAGCTACTTGGGAGGCTGAGGCAGGAGAATGGCGTGAACCCAAGAGGCAGAGCTCACAGTGAGCCAAGATCGCACCACTGCACTCCAGCCTGGGCGACAGGGCGAGACTCTATCTCAAAAAAAAAAAAAAAAAAACCACAGCAAACAAACCAAAGAGCATAAAAAATAAGAAATATATATATGTATAAAAGGTATTTATACATACGTATATGTATGTTTTCATATAAATACAAAAGATACAAGCAATAGAGGGAATTAATGAAAATTAATAGAGGTTCTTCAAAAAGACATAAAATAGACGAGCCCCTGGGAAAACTAATCAAGAAAAAACAAAGGCACAAATGACAAATACTGGAAATGAAAACGAAGAGATTTTTGGTTTAAATTTCCAGAAACATAAAAATTGCTCAAACTGACAAAAAAAAAAAAAAAAAAAAAAAATTCAAAAGTGAAGATTTCGTGGTGAAATGTGTTTAATCAGCATTTAAAATCTATCCCACACAAAACCACCCTCCCTATCGTTTTGCCTCATCTTAGGGGAGGGTGGTTTTGTGTGGGATAGATTTTAACCTTATTTGAACCTTATCTGATAAGGTTCGCATAGCCTTGCACGCAAGCTTTGCACCCAGACAAGGAACAAATGGGTCATTTCAGCCTCATCCACTCACATGACTCCAAGAACGCTTGAGGTGGAACCCAATTCATTTCTAAACCCTTCAAACCACAGCGAAATAAATAAAGCACAAAGAAATCAATAGGACAAGCCCGTTTTTATAGCAACTGATTTTCAGCGGGGCACACTAACATTCCACCAAACGATTATATTCCCTGGCCTCCTTTCGACTCAGCTGCGGCCATCATCTCTATTTTGGGCCGATGAGATTAACACAAAAGCGTGCATGACTTGATTTTCTGGAAAGCCTTCTTCAGTTGGGGGAGTGGAGACACAGCCTCTTCCTTCTCCTATTTAGAAAGTAAAGACGGGCCGGGCGCGGTGGCTCACGCCTGTAATCCCAGCACTTTGGGAGGCCGAGGCAGGTGGATAACCTGAGGACAGGAGTTTGAGACCAGCCATGACTAACTTGGTGAAACCCTGTCTCTACTAAAAATAGAAAATTAGCTGGGCCTGGTGGCGCATGGCTGTAATCCCAGCTACATCCCAGCCAAGATCGCACCACTGTACTCCAGCCTGGGCAACAAGAGCGAAACTCCGTCTCA